CCCCCCGCTTCCTTTCCCCATCCCATCCCATCGCGCACAGCATCCCCGCACCCATCCTCACCACGGCATCGCCGCAAGGACCGGGCAACGGGGACAGCACCGGGGGTCAGCACGGAACGCTCACATCCCCGCGCTGCTCCGTGTCATCCCGTAGCACCGAGGTCGGGCACGCAGCCCCCAGACCCCCCCTCCTCCCCCCGCCCTCCCCAACAACAACTCACCGCCGCCTGCAGCCGCTGCCCATGGGGACGCAGCGGGGACGGCCGGGGCAGCGCGGAGCGCACACAGCTGAGCCTGCCGGGAGAGGCCAGCGCTCTGACCTACTTCTCCTTCCGCATCACCTGCTTTCATTTTCCCTCGCCACGGTTCAGTCCCCCCCCCCCCCCCCCCCCCCCCCCCCCCCCCCCCCCCCCCCCCCCCAACCACCACCACCACCACCTCCCGCCCACGGCCCCAACCCGTCACGCTGGTGGCTCCTCGGGGACACCGGGACCCGCCGGCTTCCCTACGGCACCGGAGGGGTGACGGCGTTGTGCCACCGGGCCCTCGGTGCGGTGAAGGTCACCGGGCACAGCTGGGGACAGGCACGGCCGCCTTCTTCTCTTCCCCCCCCCCTCCGCTTCCCCCTTGGCCACTCCAGTCACCTCCCTGGCACGAAGCGAGTCGGACGGGTCTCAGCCCGGCCCCTCGCTCCGTCCTCGGTCGCCCCGAGGCTCAGCGGGGTGTGGACACGCAGCTCAACGCGGGGATGCAGCTCTGCCCCAGGGACACGAGAGATGCGGGGACGGCAGCCTCTCTCCCCCCCCCCCATCGCTCCACTGGGGAGGGGGGGGGTTTCTATGGAAAAGCCCCGGCACTGGGGGAGTGCGAGCGCTCCCGGGGGCTCCCGCCAGCAACCAGCGCTGCCAGGAGAGATTTCTGCGTGGTTTCATCATCCACCGCCGCCCCGAAGGAGAAGTTCCTGCTCCGTCGCAGGACACCCACCCACCCTCCAGGGCCGGGCTGCGGGGCTGCGCCCACCGCCTTCAACCCCCCCCCCCTCCATACACCATCACCACCACCACCAGCACTGCTCCCCCCCCCCGCGTGTGCGCGCTCGGGGCCTTCGTGTGCCACGTGTGCACCGAGGGTGCATGGCAGCAGCTGGCAGAGCTGCGGCCACAGCTTCGGGCTCAGCGCTGCTGTCTGTCAAGTACAAGGGGGGGGCGGTCAGCCCTACAAAGCCCCCAGAGCCCCTCCCGGGATGCTGTTCTCCACGCCCCCAGCCCGGTGGTCACCTCCCCAGGCCTCAGCGTGGCAGCAGCCAGGTTAATCCACTCCCACACACCCCCCCCCCAGTCCAGGAGTTGCCCGTTCTCTCTGCAGAGCCCCCACATCGCAGTCCCGCTGCCCCACATCCCTCTGCAGCCCCACAGCTTCCCCTTCTCTGGGCTCCAAGCTGAAGTTCCCCTCTCTCCACACCCAGCGTTACCACAACCACGTGCCCTCACCGGGGGACCCCAAACCGTGAGACCCCCCCCACCCTCCACCCCCACCGTGTGGGAACAGCACCCAGAAAGCCACCGACCTGGCTCTGCTCAGGGAAACTGAGGCACGGTGAGACATCCCGAAGGCGCCGAACCCAAAGGCAGCACCCAGAGCTCGAGGCCAGGAGGGGACCCTGGTACCCAAAGAGCGCAGCACCGTGTCCCTAAACGGAGCAGCCCCCGATCAAGGGCAGCCGCAGCCCAAGACAACGGCCGTTGTCTGGCGTGAAGGGTAAACACCCCACCCCGCCCCGGACAAACAGCAGCGGGGGCAGCGGCCCGGGGGGAGCACGGAGCTGGGTGCGGGGCAGAGTCCACAGAGCTCAGGGTGCCCGAAGGGTGGGGGGGGGAGGGCGAGCACCATGGTCACCCCCCTGATTGCTTGGAATTGGGTGAAACAGCACCGCGGCCCCGGTTTTGCCATCGGGTGTCATTCCCAACCGTGAGCTCACCGGGGCAGGGCAGGTCCCCGGCAGGCCTTACGCAGAAGGACGCGGGGATGCAGGGACACCAATGGGGACAGGGAGCAGCAAGGGGGGGAGGAAGGGGATCAGCACCCCCTCTGCCTGCGCGCCCGAGGGGCTCAGCCGCCGCCGAGCCGCGGGACGGTGCCACGCGTGGGCCGGGAGCACCGGAGCGGCAGCGTCAAGGCGAGAGGAGGAGACGCGTCCCGGTGTCCGGTTATTCACCGCCGCAGCCCCGGGATCGCTCCCTGAGTCCGAAGCGGTGCGCGCAGCCCCCACCCCCCCCCTCCTGGCACCGCGCCCGCCGACGTGTCCGCGTCCGCCGGCAGTTCTCGTCCCCGCCGCTCCCGGTGCGCGGAACGAACGGAGCCATAGGGAAACGCACCGGGAACCGGGCACGGAACGGGCGCACCGCCCCGGAGCCAAACCCGGGACCGAGCGCACCGAGCGGCACCGGCCGCGCCGCAGAGCACCGGAACGGCGACGACTCACCGGAGCCGGGCTGCGGGCACCGGGCCGGTGGCGGTGCGTCCGTCGCTCCCTCCGTACAGACAGAACCGTCGGTCCGCCGGGCCCCGCGTTCCCCCCCCGCCCGCTCCGCGCCTCCTCCGGTCTCCACCTGCGCGCTCCGCGCTCACCTGCGCGCCCCGCCCCGCCCAGCGCCGGTCCCGGGGCCGCAGCCCCGCCTCCGCCTCCACCTGCACCGCCGCCCCGCCCGGCCCCCCCCTCCGCCGCCTCCAGGAAGCGCCCGCCCCCTCCGCGCCCATTGGGCAGCGCTCCGCATCGCCCGCCTCCTATTGGCGGAGGGGGTTGTCCGTCACCCCCCGTGCCGTCCCCCCCCTTCCCTCGGGGGAGGGCGGCGGCGTGC